CGTGGGGTTATTGGAGGCTGTTGGTTTTTGTCAAACGAGCGTGCGCGCACAGTGTTTTTCGCAGAGGAGGAGGAGGGTCGATAAACGGACTTCGTGGGACGGCTCGGACTCAGATTTAAGAGGGGCGCGAGCGCAGGATCAGATGGACTGGACGGTGCGGAAGCTGCCTGGCCTTGGCTGGCACATCGCTATTGCCGCGTTTGCGCGCGCACGCTCACGCACAGAGCGGCCAGCTAGTTTGGCGCGACCGACGCGGCCGCGGTGGCGCTAACAGTTTGGCAGTTCCCAGTGCGTTTCGCAGGCCGCGCTGACACGCGGGCACTTCGTGCGAGTCGGTGATTCAAACAGGCGCGGTCTCATGACGACGTCGGCGACGGGAGACAGGATGATGAACATAATGATGTTGGTGACGACGACAATGACGACGTCAAAGCCAGAGACGGCGCCGATGCGGATCACGCCACTGACGATGATGGTGTTCATGTGTCGGTGATGCGGGTGCTGGAAAAAATTCGACATGCGCACGCGGCCGATGCGCTCGAATGGCCCGGGTGCTTCAATTTCACATGGATTGTGCACCCTTCCTCCCCCCAAACACGCGCGCAAGGGCGTTTGAATGGTTTTCGACATGTGCGCGCGAAGGACCCGCTTGGTCGCGTTAGTCGCGCTTGATGGATTCGTACGCCGTGTGGGAAATACTTTTTTTAGAGTCCGCAGGAGCGCGCACGCAGCTCGTTCGCCTACGACCAAATATATAAACACAACTGATACGAAACCTTCGTGTTTCTGTTCGGACACAAGTTGTGTTCATGACCTTCGAATATCAAGTTGTTCAACAAAAATGCTCAGGATGTTGATGGTAAACCTATGCACGCACGACGGGCTTCATGAACATCGGCGGCTTGTGAAATACGAACGCGTGCGCACATGATTTTTCGACGGGCATGGGTTGAGGGGGGCGAACGCCGCTTCGGCTGGGATGGTACTAGCTCTTCATGTGTAGAATGAACGTTTCGGCAGAAATGCGTGTGATTGTCATAAGCCCTGAGGTGGCGATGAGTCCAGAGAGGGTGGTCGAACCATTGTGTTTTGAGAAAGAAGGCCGTGTGTGTGGCCTAAACTATTTGGAGCAATCTCTGTCGTGCAAGCTACGTGGTGCAACCTACGAGGCTCGCACCAGCAACATGGTGACGCACGGCGGCGGCGAAGGGCGGCCACCTGCCGGCCGGGCCGACGCAGGCCCAGCCCGACGGCGGCGACGGGCGGCTACATGCTGGCCGGACCGACGCACAGGCCCAGTTTCGGGTATAGCCAGGACCCCGGGCAGGGGGACCCGGTCAGCGGTAGGGCCCTGGGGCCCCTCAATTGGCCAGAGTCGCTAAACCAGGTTTGCAGTAATTGGTGTTTTTCGGGTGACGGCAGTTCCGGTTAGTGGTAAGGGGGCGGGGGGGGCGCCCCCGGTACAACTCACTAAACCAGGTCCCACTAAACCCAGTTTTGCCAACGCCCGACAGTTCCTGAGAAGACAAGTAAGAACCTTCTCATTGCAGGCGCTGTGTGAGGAACTTTTGGGGAGGTCCGCACGGGTTTCTTGGGCCATGGCTGGACGGAGTTGGCGGCGCCTGTTGGCGCCACCCCGCGCACGCTCGGCGCTCCAGGGAGGGGGGTCCAGCGCAGGTCGAAGACATCCACGCCAACCCTATGTCTATGCTCTTTTTCCTTCCTCTATTCATCCTCTGCCCGACTCTTCCGATCTCGTGTTGGATCTCCGTATAATGCATGCTGACAAATGCGATCGCCTCATCAGCGAGTGCCATGCCCGCGCTGCATCTCTCTTCCTTGTGGATAGCTCCTTTTTGTCGCACCACCAGACGTGCTGGTCAGGCGGTCCAGGCCTTTCTCCTGAGACTTGTCAACCTGATGGGTCAGTGTGCCATAGCCAGACCAACTAGGAGACATTTGTCTTGATGGGTTGGTCAGTTTTTTTCGATAAGAAGTCCTTACCACGCCTGGATCACTACCGCATCCATGGTCAACATAGGGAGTGGGTCGATTAGGGCTTTTTTCTGTAGAGGAGAAGCCCTGGCCACGCCTAGATCACTCCCGCCGCCTCGGTCGGAATAGTATGTCCTTCCTCCCCACCAGTACGGTTCCGAAGTTTAACGCATAGGACAAGGTACACGAATGTCAGACTAGTTGTTTAAAACCATGTGGTTTTTATAGCCGCGCATGTTTTTATGAATGCGTTCAATTGTCATACATGTCTAGATCGAATCGTTGTCAAGACAAGGATCCGAATCCGTGCGCGCACATTCTCTCTTCAAGGTATCCAAACGACATAGGGATGGAGGGCGATCCGTGTTCAACATGTGGGTGTCGCCATAGCACCGCACACATTGCCTTAAAGTTGCCCCAGCAACCACAACGGAGGAGGGCGTGCCGTTTTCAAAATATGGTTCCATCCGTAGCGCCGCGAACATTATTTGCAATAGCTTGCAACATTCGCCAGGGTGGAGGTCGGTTCCTTTTTTACACAGGGCTCTCGCTCGCTTGCAGGCCTTCGTGCATACAGAACCAGCAGCTATTGGGATGCAGGGCGGGTTTCTTTTCAACATGGGGGTCTCGCTTCGGAACTCCTGCTAACCTGCAACGCGACGTGTAACACTGCACAACCACTGTACAGATGAACGTGCCCTTGGAAACAAGCGGGATTCTCGCTTGAATGGATGGCCGTATCGCTAAGGAGTGCCTGTACGAAGTTATGCAGGGGGGATTGGGGACGGGATGAAGTACTACAGCATCGTCGGTCAATTATGGGGTTACTCTTGACGTCCTCCCTCCCCTGCCCCCCCTCCCTCCCTGATCCTGCCCCCCCCCCCCCCCCTCAGAGCCATGACCCGTGCAGGACCCGTGCAGTTGGACTGCACGCGTTTCCCGAGGCCCCTGTGACTGCTGGTGTTCCTGCTCCTCCTGCCACCGTTACGGTCTCTGATGATGCTGCTCCTCTTCCTGCCCGCCCCTCCTGGGTCCTTTGGTTCCGTCTGCCTTCTCTCCCTTCTCCAGGTGAGCGACGGAAGAGAACGAAGCCGACCGCGTGGACACACGCGCGCAAGCTTCCCGCGTGAGGTCGCGCGTGAGCGCCCTCTCCCACACGCCGGGCGCCGCGCCGGCGGCCCGCGCAGGCCGCGGCGCAGGGTCGGCTGTGCCATCGTGTGCAGGACCCGTGTTTTTTTTCGCCGCCCAGTCGCTCGCGCCACTCCGCTGCCCTGCCGCAGCACCCCGTGGCCCCCTAACCCTCCCAGAGAAGCGGCTGCCGCACGGGGCCCAAGGTGCACGTGCTCTGCAACCAGCTGGAGGCCCCCGGGCGCCCGGGGGGGCGCCTCGCCGACCGAAGCCCCGTCCCTCCGTGTGTGCACGCCTGTGTCTGCTCCTGGCGTGTGCGCGCTCGTGCGTGCGCGCGTGTGCGTGCGCGTGCGCGTGCGCTCGTGTGTGCTTGCGTGCGCGTGCATATGTGTGTGCGTGCCCTCGTGCGTGCGTGCGTGCGTGCGTGTGTGTGTGCGCGTGTGTATGTGTGTATGTATGTGTGCGCGCTTGAGCGTGTATCGGTGTGTGTGTGTGTGTGGGTGCGTGCGTGCGTCCGTTTGGCGCCGAAGCCCGCTGCTCTCAGCCACCGCCCGCCGCCCGCCGCCCCCCACCAGTGCCTCGTGAGGGGCTGGCGGTTCCTCACTTTCCACCGGCGGGTTGCGTGGGGCGTCCCTGGAAGCCACGCAGCTCCGGTTTAATTCACCCAGCCGGGCTGTGCCGAATTACACATTGTCCTGAGTACACATTGTCCTGAGTAGACCCCCGACGCGCGCAGCTTCTCATGCGAGGCCATGGCCTCACCCACCTCGCTTTGAAGGGGCCCGGGCGCATGCCCGCACAGGCGATCCGTATCCGTATCCGTAGCCGGGCTGTGCATGTTTGATCGGCCGGGCCATGTGGCTCGTCGCCCCGCTTGCGCGCGCACAAAAAAAGTGTGTTTGTGTTTGTGTGTGTGGCAGTTCACGAGGCAGCGCGTATCAGTCATGGCAACCACGGCTGTCGGCAAGGCCCTGGTAGTCGATGCCATCTACTTGTGCTTGCACCCCGTATTTTGATCGCTCTGGCTACCAACGCGTGGGCATATGTTGCAGATGGTGGGCACCAGGCCCCGCCAGCGTGGGCATGCGATGGCATCCACGCCCGTTGGCAAAAGCCAGAGAGGTTATCGATGCTCATCGTGCCCCACAGGTCTCTCTCCCCCCTCGCTTCCTCATCCTGCATCTGTGTCTTCCTGCGCCTTCCCCCTCCCCCCGCCGCTCTCCCACTACAACATCGAAGCACTGCAGCGCTGGACAGGCCCGACCCTGTGAGATCGCGAGCTGTGCCCGCGCCGCCGCGTGGAGCTGGATTCCTCCCTCATCGCCCCTTTGCCCCCGCCGCTCTCCCCCCTGCGCTCGGGGACACCCCGTACCCCCTGGCCCCCAGGTCCTCGTCGAAACGTCAGGAGCCACTCCCTTTAACTTCCCCTTCTCGTTAGACCTGCTTGGGATGCTTGGCGTTGTTGCCAACTTCCTACATTCCCCCCTCCCCCATTTTCGCCCCCCCCTCCCCCAGTCGAAACATAGGGGGGACGGGTGAGGGAGTGAGGAGGGGGAGGAAGGAGGAAGGTGAAGGGACGAGGGAAAGAAGCCTCCCCACTCTCGCCCCTGAAGCTCCCTGACTCCCTCACTTCTTTTCCGTTTTGCCTCCCCCCTGGCCCCGCTCCATCCGTCCTCCTGTCCCCTCCTCCTGTCCCCTCCGTTATGCTTCGGCCCTGGCCTCCCTCCCTCCCTCTCCTCCGTCCCTCTTTCCCTCCTCCTCCTTCTACTTTTTCTGTTTTGTATGTTTTTCCAGCGGGGCTGGCAGGATGGAGGACTGCCAGTCAGGGCGCCTCAAGCCGTTCCCAGTCTCCGTTCGCCCACCCGCCGGGCCCGCAGCAAGCCGGGCGCGCCGCGATGTCTTCTACCGCCGCTGCCCCCGCGGGTGCTGTGGACCTGGACGCTACCATCCGCGCGTTCCTCGCCGATGGTGCCCTCCCCTTTTTGCCCCTACCTTCGAGAGCACCAAGCAGTATCAACGCCACGCCGCCGTTGAGAGCCCGTCAGCGTGTGACTCCTCCAGTTCGTCCGATTCCCAGTGCCTCTTCGAAAGTAGCACGGTAATGGGTTCCCAACGGCGGCGCGTCATCCATGTTGTGCTTGCTCCCCCATGACCGGGCCGCCTCTGGTGCTCCCCGACGCCTCTGGGAGCCTTCGCCCCGGGATCCCCCCCGCGGGGACCGACCTCTGTCTGGGAGTCTTCTTTCTGGGAGCCTCCCGACACGAATGGAGGAGAAAACATGACAAACATACGCGTTTGCGGACTTCCGCAGACGCCTTCCCAGCCGGCGCCAGCCGCCCCCTCGGGGCTATGCTGGTTCTGCGCCGTCCTCTGTGTATAGGAGCGGGGCGCACGCGTCCCTCCTCCTCCTCCTCCTCCTCCTCCGCCTCCTCCTCCGCCTCCGCCTCCGCCTCCGCCTCCTCCTCCTCTCCTCCTCCTCCTCCTCCTCCTCCTCCGCCTCCTCCTCCTCCTCCTCCTCCTCCTCCTCCTCCCCCTCCCCTCTCCTCCTCCTCCTCCTCCTCCTCCTCCTCCTCCTCCTCCTCCTCCTCCTTCTCGTCATCCCCTCGGCGACCACTTGCGAACCCTACTCATGCGGGTCCAATCGGCACTGGGGTATCGGACGCCGCCGCTGGGGTTTCACTTGGCTGGAGACGTCCTTCGGTTTCTGCAGAACCGAGCCGGCGTTTCAGAAATCCGAAGGATTCGCAGATGGTTGCTTGTCCTTGTCGCTCGCCTGTGCCAGGAGTCTGGTCCACCTGAATCCCTCGAATCCCTCGACATGTGGTCGGGCCTCGTCTCTGGTAGTTTCTCCCTTGGCTTCCAGGATTCCCAATTTTCTGCGGGCCGCCCGGGGATCTGATGTCGAGTATGGTACACCGATTTGTCAGGACAGGCTCAGGTTCCCAGCGCGCGAAGCGCGCCAGGACAGGGTGCGAGAAGGACGCCCACCGCCAGCGGGGAGCCCGTCCGCGGACGTCCGACCGTTTCCCCCAGTTCCCTTAGGCTAAAGCTGGGCGACAGAGGGGAAAGGGGGTTGGGAGAGGGGGGCACGAAGTCTGCTGCATGCAGCCGGGTTCGGCCCCGCCGTTTGGCGCTTTCGAGGTGAGCGGACACCTCTTGCGCCCAGACGCGCCAGGAAAGCGAGCGGTACACCCTTGCATCGAGGATGCCTACGTTGAACTAGCGCAGCCCGCTGCCTTTTGGAAGTGCCTGTATGGCCAAACTTTGGACCGAAGTCTTGCCGATCAGTTGGACTACGTGGTCGCCCAGCTGTTGCGGAAATCCTTTGGCCCATCCCGCCACCGCGCTTTCGTTGCATGTCAGAAGCCTCTCGGATGCTTGTGGGGATATTTTGGGATGCATATCGGAATCCTCGTGGAGGCGGTTTTGCAGTGCCTTGGGGGCCTCTTGGGCGGCCTCTTGGCGGCCCTGGTGTGGGCCTCACTGGGGCCTCCTGGGGGTCTGGAGGGTCTCTCGAGGGCCTCTTTGGGGTGTCTTGGGGTCTCGGAAGTATTCTTGGGACGGAGAGCTCGACATATAGACTCGTGCTCCTTCTTGAGGCTCTATTGGGGCTATCTTGGGCAGTCGTGAGTGCCTCTTGGGCAGTCTTTCGGCCCTCTTGGGCCGTTTCGGGGGCCTGTTCGTTAGGGGCCTCTTGGGCCGTCTTGGAGCGTTGGAAGCCTCAAGAGGCGAGAACGCTAACATCCTCCAGATACTTAGGAAACCAATGATTTGGGCATCGTGGTTCCCTCCTGAGAGGGTTCGTAGGGCTTCTTGGGCCGTCTTGAGCTTTGGCCGATTCGGTGCCCTCTTGGACTGTTTTGTCGGCCCCTTGGGCTCCCTCTTGGGCTGTTTCTTGTCGGGCCTGGCCTCCGAGCAGTCTGGCGAGAGCACGCGGGGGCACGCGGAGGCGTGGGGCACACCCAGGAAACACCGTGAATTTGGGGCGCGGGCCCTTCAAGATTGGATCCTGCAGAAAGAGGACACAAAGCTCAAGCGACCCGAGGACGCATTGTGTGACACTTTCGGCTTCATTCATGAACTAATTAGGGCTGCGCGCCACTGGCGCGCCGGCAGAGGCAAGGCCACCAGCACGCCTACCTCTTTTCACCCTTCACCCGAGGACGCATGAGCTCGTGCCTCGGGGCAACGGCGGAGAAGCGCATCCGCACACCGAGCAGCGCCTTGCACCTAGGGTTCTCACGCTGCTCTGTCACTGCCTGGGTACGCCGAGGAGTTTCCACGTAGCCGCCCCGTGCGGCCTCGTGGATGCTCGTGGGCGCCCCGTGCGCTGGTTGGGTCCGCCGAGGAGTTTCCGCGTGGCCGCCCCGTGCAGCCTCGATGGCGCTCGTGGGCGCCCCGTGCGCTGGGTGGGTCCGCCGAAGTCGCGGCACAGTGCATTTCGTGCCGCCTCGTTAACGCCCTGTGCGCTGAGCTCACACCATGTAGCTTGTAGCTTGTGCGCACTCCATAACATACACGACATAGTTTCCACGGCCTAGCTTGCACCACATAGCTCGAACAATTTGGCTTACACAACACATCTTGCACCGCATAGCTCTCTCGTCCGACTCACACCACGTAGTGAAGCCACCATCGACTACAACACTTAGATGTTCTTCCACCGCTCACATCACATATCTTACATGGCACCGCATGCGTTACACCGCATACATCCCACCCACACGGTGCAATGACGCACTATTTGGGGTCCACGCTGGCAAACATATATTTCTAAGACCGGCCACGTGCAGTGTCGGAGGTTGTGTTGGGTGGGTTGGACCAACCAAAAGGACAACCAGCGGGACAACATTATCCATCCACCGAACAAGTTCCATTTTTTTTCTTTTTATCGACCTCGCCGTTCGTTTGGTTTTTATGCTTATGCATGTACCACATTATCTGCATTGATCGCATGGCCTATGCGTCCATTGATATCACGCTGTCTGTTCTCGCCATCGCGATCCATCTGCCGATATCACTATCTACCCACATTCGGGGCGTTCGTTCAGGAATTGTCCCAGGAGGCCTGAGATACTGGAGGATGCATCATCTGATGAGGTGGCGGTGATATCCATGACCAAGCCCCAAGTTGTGTCCCACCGGCTTCCAGCCTCGACCTATCGATCTATCTATCAGCCTCATTGTCTATTCATATATCGATATCGCGCTTGATGAATCATTCTACACTCGGGACAACCGTCCAGACAAGAACTGGAACATTTTCTATCGTTTCGCCTCTCGATCGATTTCACAGGATTGTTCAGCCGTGCAATTTAGAAACGGATATCATTATCTATGTATCGATTGCACTAACTATCGATCGACTTGCCGTTCCTAGGACCGCACTACCAATCCCACGATTCACGCATCGATGTGACGATCTGTCTGCGATCTCATTATCACTGTATTGGTCGATCCACCCATCGCCCGGCCCAATGATCTGTCCACCGGTATCATTGCACACCAATCGATCCCATTAACTGTTTTGCCGATTTCCGAATCCATCGATTGGTTCGTGAAATCACCTTTCCATCGAATCATTTTTCTGTAGTGCCACCTCTACTTGTTACATAACCAGATGCATTCATCTCTCTACTTGTGTGTATTTCAATGCCATTATGTACCGGCCGATCTTTCATTATCACGACCCATGTATCGCTCCCCCTGTTTGTGTATTGATCTCACTATCAATCGATCGATTTCACCGTCGATGTCTTGGTCTTTCGATCTGCAGTTTGACCCCGCTGTCTATCTATCGGCACCAGTATCAATCCACGAAACAACTGTCGTGACACACATGGGGACAACCATCGGGACGGGACAACAATCGCGACACTTGTCGTGACAACCATCGGGGCAACCGTCGGGGCAACCATCGGGACAATCATCAGGACAACCACGGGACAACCAGCGGGACAACCTGGGACAATCGCGCGGCACCATCCGCCAATAGGGGGGGGCGTAAGAACATTTGCTCCGACTTTGGCCTAGCAACGGCGGGATCGCTTCTCTCGCCCGCGAACGCAGCTTGGCCTCGCCCGCACGCACGGCGCGAACACGAAGCCAAACTGATTTATTGTCATTCCCACCCTCCGATATACACATTCACGCGTGTACATGTTTGTAGATGTGCGTGTTGTACGTGAGGTGGTTTGCTCCCCTCCCTCTCTCGGCAGTGCGGCCGCGGCCGCAAGACACCCTCGCAAGCAGCCCAGCCCCTAAGACTCTAAGACCCGTTAGCGCGAGGTGCAAGTGGGGTGGGAACACAGAGCACGATCATCGCAGCAGCTTTTTACAGCGGCCGCGGCAAGTCCCCGCGCAGCGCGTGGAGCCTTTAAGAAACGCAGGGTACCCTGACAGAAAGCGTTCCCCTCCCCTCTCCTCGTCGTCAGACCCGACAGGTGCCCAGAGCACCCTGGTGCTGCCGAACCTGTCGCCCGATGAGCGCAAGCAGGCCAAGCGGCTGGTGGACGGGCACCCTGGGTTGAGGTGCGGCTAGACGCAAGAGCCATGGCATCCGAATTGGGTCGAAGTAGACGCGGCCGGAGGATCGCGCCGCATCGCCGATGCATCGGCGATGCGGCTTGATGCGGAGCTCGATATTCTTTACGCTGGCGTTGCGGATGCATCTCCGGCATCGCCGATGCATCGGCAGTGCGGCGCGAGCCTCCGAGCACCATCTACCCGGACGCCATTTGGGAGGCCTCCAAAGAGTGACCCTTCGCACCAGAGTGACCTTTTGGTGCGGGGCTTCCGGGGGGCGCAGGGCGGGGCCGAGCCGGCTCACGCGGGCCGCCCCTGCCGCATCGCATCTCTCACGATCGGCAAGCCGCGCCCCAGCGGTCACGCCCCTGCCTTGGGCCGCTTGCGCGCGGGGCCGGGAGGTGCGAGAGCTACGGCCTCGGCGCAGACAGGCAGCTGCACGTCTTCAGGGACGCCGCCCCGCGGGCGTCCTCGGGCGTGGCCGCCGCCCCGCTGCTGCCGGCTCGGTGCGTCAGCCGCGAGTTTGGGGATGCTGATTGCGGCGATGCCGCCGAGGATCGAACAAGAATAGAGGCACGAGCATGGAAATGTCTGCCAGCGCAGCGTGGGCCCAAAGCAGTGCATTCTTGCACTCTGGGTGCGCGTTGTATGTGGCACGAGTGGTGTGGTGCCATCGATCGGGCGCAACCTATGTGGTTAGAGGTATGTGTTGCAAAACGTTTTGCTCAACATGTGGTGCGAGCGATGTGGTGTAGGGTATGCGGAGCAAGCTAGGTGATACAGCCCATGTGGTGTATCGCATGCGACGTGAGCGATATGGTGCACTACGCACGTGTCGCAACGCACGAGGTGCACCTCCACGTG